TACTCACATGATAATCCTTGGGTGGTACTCCATTAGAGAGTTGTTCATGTAGAATCTTCTGAAGTACATGATGGCTGTACCCTGCATACAAATTACACAACTTTCTTATAACTACAGTAATTAATTCACAGTGAAGCGCGGTTTTTCACCCATCATGAGTGCTTCTGGTATGTTAGCCCTCCCAATAAACGGGTTTACTGTACATTGTTTTGATGTCTACAGCTGTAAATACATACAATAACAGATTTGGGCATTGCAGGTTTGAAGACATTGCAGAAGTCCAGAAGTGTTCTCTCGTAGTTTCTGAAGAGAACATCTTCTTCGTGACGGTTCAGGAACACGGATTCACTTATCACGTGCTGTTGGAGGGGCACAAAAAGGGGTGGGGTCAAGTTAAGGTGCGCAAGGTGACGTTTGGCAAAGATTAGTGGCATTTTTAGTGTTCTTAACCTTCCCGCTTTCTCTGATCTTCTTCCTGAACTTCTGGTTGGCTTCAGATCGCAACTGTTCCAACTCGTCTTCGTTGTTAAAGGTCCAATATTTTCTTTGTGAACTGTCATGGAACATGGCTGCAAGAAAATACGTCACAGAAAGTGAGTTATCGTTTGTTGGTTTTACAGATTTAGCAACCATAAAGACATTTTATTTCATGGTTGATATTTACCAATGACCAAAAACAGTGGAAGCAATTGCTGTCGCGTTTATCTCCTGCACGTTCGTGCGTTATGGTTTCAAAGCAGCTTTCAACGACGTCTGTCGTGCATGTAAAATAACGTCGGCTCCCTGTATGTCTACCTAATACTAGTCATTTGGGGAAAAAAATATTTACCGTTGATCACAACAGTTAGTCAGATAATAGCTTGTTTCCGTCCGTGAATTTGATGAAACAGCTTGCATTAAATACTGGTCGCACGTTTACGTCACAATATGCCGTCGCTTGCTGATGTCGCTACCGTAATCTTTGCTGGACTGCGCACTAAAATTTTCTTTTTTGTCGGTTTTGCTATCTGGATAAAACAGGTGTTTTATTTCGTGGTTTTAAAAAACATTGCCACACTAAAAGATAAAAACTACATTTTTCATAGAATATCGCTGTGATTATAGTACGGATCGCACTGTTATCACTCATACACAGAAGATAAACAGTTTATTTTATTTTTCATCTGAATAACACCTTTGCAGTTCAGTATACAGTATGTCGATGTACCTTTAGTACGTTTGCACAAAAGGTGCATTTATTTAAGAGCATGGCAGCTCTTGATCACAGGCTATGTTTGAAACGTCGCCACTCAACACTCCGCCCGAGTTGCCGTGCTGCGCAATTTGCATAAACAGGAGTCATTTATGAATAATGAATACACATGCGTTCAGCGGGAACCGATCATTTGCATATCAACACAGCTATGGTTTGATTTCCTAGGTCGGTGTTGTTGTCCTAAACAGCCCTGCGAACCTGCATAAACCACAAGTAAGGAATTATAGAGCTTCAACAGGTACGTACATCTTGGGGGGGAAAAAAAAGAAACATGCAGTATTGTGCATGTATTCCGCCGGTACACGCTAAGTGTGTCTGTGATTTGCTGGTTTGTGTCTTGCTCCCTTTACCTCAACCCAGCCCTTTGCTACGTCCTCGATTTTGCAATCACATAAGAAACCATGCAATGTTGATGAGACCATTGCAGCCTGTGTGCGTTCGCGCGCGCCCACGGGCGCTTGCGTGTAGATCCGCGCGCGCTTGCTTGTCCGCGTGGGGGCTGTGGGGGTGGGGTCTGCAGCCTGTGTGTGTGTGTGTGTGTGTGTGTGTGTGTGTGTGTGTGTGTGTATGTGCGTGTGTGTGTTTGTGCGTGATGTGTGTGTGTGCGTGTAGTCATTTCGAGGGCCAAAGGCAAACCCAGTCATTGGGCCCACCAGATCTGTGCACTGCTAATATTTCAAACACGAATGTTTATCATATCAACTCAAAATTGTGTATGTTAGAAAATTCTCTTTTCTGAGCCAGGATAAGTCCTTAAAGCTCTTCTTGATGGTTGTTATCTAACTGCAGTAATATTTGTCATTTCTCGTAAAGGTTGAAGTGTGTGAGTCTTGTTACATTTTGTCTACATGTGTTGATGCACCGTTTGTGTCCAAGTACCCGCGGCTTACGGAAACATGTAGATGAGCTTCAGTAGCTCATTTCGGGTGTTTCCTATGATGTGTTAGCATTAAGCTAGCAGACTTAATGTCAAAGTTACAGTACGTGGTTGTTTTAAGTGCACAACATGCATTTCTCTTTCTTTAATGTTGAGTTTGACAGTTAGCTTTAAACAACTTGAAGACTTTCCACTGAAAATGTGTTCCCCATGCCAAACTACTACTAATTGTGAAGTGAGCGGAGTTGAGCAGAACGAAGATGGGGTAGCCTATTGCAGGAGAAGGGTGAGGGTTGCGCTCAAAACGATCATGACAGATTCATCTTTTTTTTTTTTAAGTGTGTAACGTAAGATTGAACCAATAATTATTGCTTTAAATCAAAGAAAAAAAATATGAGTTAGTTTTTATGAGAGATTTGGGGGACCCCTGGAAATGTTGGGCCCCAAGCAACTGCAAACGTGACGGCAATTCTACCCTTTGTGTGTGTGTGTGTGTGTGTGTGTGTGTGTGTGTGTGTGTGTGTGTGTGTGTGTGTGTGTGTGTGTGTGTGTTTTACATTCTTGCCAATGTTTTATGGGAAACAGTGTGATTGCAGGTCATCACTTTACAAGACACAGGCATATTTAAACCCTATCTCAGCACTCCTAAAATACCACAGGTGATAAATGTAGTTATGATGTACTGTATTTTATTATTATCATTACAGTCTATAATATTATCCTCACACCCTGTCTTAGAACCTATCAGGGGCCATTTCGGTTATTATAAAGTCCTCTTAGGGCCATACAAAATGAAAGGAGGAAAGAAGAAGATTGACCTAATGTTTATTGTTATTGTTATATAGAGCCTTAGGAGCGTTTGTGGGTCTTGGGGCTTTTTAGAGCAATTTGTCTGTTGTTTTATTTCTTTTCAGAATTACATGGTCCTTCACTGCCTTAGTAGCTTGCTTCGGTAGCTCGTTGGAATCCATTTTAAGTGTTCATGTTCTGACAAATAATTAGTGGTGCAAAATTTAAATTTGAAACAAACATTACCGGGTATTTCCAGTTGAGTACTGCATTTTATTTTTATTTTTTTGTCGAAATTGTTTCTCAAAAACATAAGGTAGTTTGCGCGAGGTGATTAGCTTCGACCGATATTTTCCCTGCCTCTACTGAGCTAAAGATCATGCTGTGTTTTACATGAAAACATCACCAAACACAAATGTCGCACAACGTAAATGCAGTGTGCAACAATGATTATGATCTCATCTGAAATGAGACAACTTACCATTCTACTAAGTCAGTGTTGAACACGGAGCTTTTATTCTGTCATAGGATTGATAACAGGCAGATACACACATTTATTTTTCCCTGCTGCTATCAAATGGAATAGCATTTAATTCATCTGCATTTGACTATATACGTTACTGGCATAGATTGATGAACAACCACATGTCATTTGTAATAAATAAAGAATAACTTTCTCATCGACTGAATGAAATTTTAAAAAAATTACCGCGGCATATGAACTTGAAGCATGTTATTGTAATGAAATCTCTCCCCACCCAAAAAACAACACAATTAGTCTGTCTTTTCAAACAAAAAAAAAACATATCACTTTATATTTTGCTTCATAAAAAGATACATTCACGATACAATTAAATAAACAATAAAGAATTGAACCATTTTTGCCTCTTTTTTTTTTACTTGACTTGTATGCACCACGGCCACCTGGGGGCAGTATAACACAGATATACAGATCTACATCTTCTCAGCCAGTCTCAGTGACATTGATCATCTTCGCAGCGGATAAAGAATATATATTCCCGTGAGCATTCCTATATCATCTATTGCTCCACCGTTTGTGTTCAAATAGCTGTCGCTCAAATGTTTTAGTCTGTCCATGGTGTCTTGCATTGTTTGCGAGCATTAAATATCAGGAAGGCACAGCTGTGGTAGTTTTTGATATAAAGCTTGTTATTCTTTTTGTTTTATGCTTCATTTGGCAGGAAATATATAAAAGTATAAGTAGGTATACACATTTCATTTTTTTCTAATTTGTATTTCAATGACTGTGTAAATGACGGTCTCTGATTGTGCCCTGAGAATGACTGGCGACCAGTCCAGCATTGTACATTTTATGAAAGACAGTGATGTGAATTTATTAATTGCGAGGTAAAATGTGTGTTTTGGGTTCTGAGAATCGCTTCCGTTGCCATCATAGACTCGCCCTTGCTGCCGTATTCTTGATTTTAGTGTCCCTCTAATCAAGTTAGCCTCCACCTTGAATCGCGTCTTTGCTCGTATATGACAAACCTTTTCATGCACAAAATGCGAAAAGATTGCAATTTACGGACACAATGTCACCTGAAATCCAAGTACTGACTGATGGATTGGTACATTGTCACCTTGGCCGCGCATGTCTCGGAGGAGGAAGGCTGATACAATAGTTACCACCACGTGTATGAAGCCCCTCTCTCTTGTGTAAAAGGAAATCATTTGGAAATAACCTTGGCGGCCATGCAAATGATTTCTCTGACCAATGAGCTCACTAAATCTCATTTGATGGTCTTCGTTTTTTTGTTAAACAGCTCAGCTTCACGCGCCAACAAATACAATTAAAGCCTGATTCTAAATCCCCCAATGTGCATATTAATTATGCTTCCCTCCATTACAACATGCATAACCCCCCCAACCCCTGCCCGCCCTTCTTTGTGCAGCCGTTACCATGGCAACCGGTGCCTTGATGTCAGAACCACCTCCAAGGACAATCGTACAGGGACTGGGTCATGTGCATTGAAGCTGGGCATCAACACCAAGATGGCCACCAATCACCCCCACCCACACCCGCCCCGCCCTTCTCATATCTTTTGCCGCATGGGAGAAATGTGTTTTTGAGCTTGGAAACAAAGCGGGAAGTGCATGTTGATTTGATATGTGCCGTGCGGGCGAAGCCCCCTCGGAGAGCCAAAGATTTGTGAAAAGAAATTAGAAATTGGTTTGAATGTGGCCCTACATTTGCTTTCGCCTGGTTGGCATTGTTTTTTTTTTTTTTGGGGGGGGGTCCCTTCCCCCTCCCCTACAGACACTTAATGCGCCCCCGCTGCCTTCCCCCCGCTGGCTCTCTAATTGAGCTTTGTGTCTACCTCCATCTCTATTCAAACACAGCCTCATTTGCATACCACTCCCGCACCACGGACAGCTCCCCAGCTGTACAGTAGAGAACTAAATGAGGAACACAGACCCACTTTACGTGAAGTGAATACTAAGCAGCCGACGCATCCTGTCAGTGTTTCCGAAAAAAATACAACAAGCATCTGAGAGATGAGAAGCAAAACCAAATCAATGCACTCAGACTGAGCCACCTGAAAAGACATGCACAGTCTACTGTGTCAAAACGTTTCGTTTTATAAATTCATGTGAAAGAGTCATAGAATATGAATTCTCGGAAGGATACGCTAGGGCTGCTCAGACCACATTCACGGTTCCGCTTAATCGTTTTGGTGCAATGTAAAAACGTCTAAATTTATTCCATTAGCCTAACAGCATAACTGCCCGAGTTATTTTTTTACAGTATTTCCTGTCACAATACAGTATCAGTAAAAATACCAAGGTGCTTGCTGAGAACTTTTTTTTTAATGTCTTAGGCAACCATGCTATTAGGCTAACAATTAGTATTCTTTTTTTAAAATGCATC